CCCCACGGCTGAAAGGGCGAGCATGTTGGTGGGATGCGGATTCGAACCCGCGACCCTCAGATTGTGAGTCGAGCGCCTTATCCACCTGGCCATGCCGGGCTACTTTTGCCTCAGTAAAGCAAATGTAAGCCTGCAGGCTTAGCGACGCTAAGATTCGGGTTTCGCAAGAGAAACGCAAGTCAAGCGTAAGAGAATATTCGTTATGCTATATAAAGCTGTTTTATACGTATTTACACACGTCTTGGAAAATAATTATAAAATGATAGTAATATCTTAAAGTTCGAAACTGTATAAAAATTAACTAATTTATTTCACTCGAAACGAAACGAAGCTCTTTATTTGAATTTGATACAAACTAGAAGTAAACAGAAAATCATAGGATACAGTGACACATGAAAAGGAACATACTTTATGAACCCTGAATGATTTATAGACGTTTTCTAAAGAACAGTTAGAGCAACATTTTATTTTTCTGTCTTTTTTTAAAGATATTTTGATTTTAGCAAACTCTTGTGTAATTGTTTGTCTGTTTTTCTCGAGAAACGAAAACGAAGGACGGCAGCTTGCAACTCATCAAGTTGAAATACATTTAAGCAACTACTTGTTCAAATATTTTTTTATAACACTAGGATTCGTGGTTTTATTACTGCAGCGGACATAGCACAGGTATCATATTGTGCAAGCTGTTCCGTTAAAAACAATTCAAGTTATAAATAAATTAAAACGGCTCTTCTTCGTATATGTATATGTACAATTAAAAGATATATAACGTTAAAATGGTGGCGTAAGAACACTGAAATATGTAGAGTGTTTTTAAGGCTTGTTCCTTTTTTTATAATTTATTTATTGTGCAGTTATTTGAACGTTGTATGTCCTTTAGTTGTATATAATCCAAATTATCTTTAGTCTTTATTTCTAATATGCGTGATATGTTCGGAGGAACATAAATCAAGATACAATTTTAGTTTTAAACGTGTGATTAATATTTAAAGTGAAATATAATGTGCTCTGTTTTGAAATGTTCCTGCTTAATACGTGTGCATAAGTTTGATCTTTACAGTTTTGACGAAATCTCGAGCCATCTGGAACTCGTATAAATATAGAATGGGAAAAAAATTAGGCTTAAAAAGGTTAATGAATAGAGCTGATGTAAATACGTATTTTACTTCGATGATTCATATTCTAATGTAAAAGTTCTGATGAGCTATGATTATTATTGTTTTGATCAAAAGTAGAATAGAAACTGGTGCTTAAAAGTGATTAACCGTTTTCTCGTCAGATAAACTTAATAGAAGTCCTAAATATATTAGGAATCTGAAAGTATGCAATGAAAATCAAATATCTGTACACAAGTAGAATATTTTAACATTGCTTCAATATATGCCACCTAACAGTAGAACTAGATATCTCTAAGTCATATAATAAGACAGAAGTATTAAATTAATTAATAACTTGGTGTTGATAGAGAGATAAGTTCTAAACAAATAGCGTACATGTTCGAAAGTTTGCATTTTTGAAAATAATTTCAAAGTAATTTTTTAACAACTGTGAAAACTACTGTATTTATTTCAACAAACACTTCACCAAATGCCTAAATTTTTGAACTTATTCTGTGGGAAATTGGATACTGAAATTATAGAATTTGAAGATGCCACTAGATGGCGCGCATGTCAGATGTTTTTATGATATACAAGGAATAAACGCTTGTGTTCAATTTCTCGTTATAAAACGGAAGGGAGATACACTGTTGTTCCAGAGTGGATTTCGGTTGTCAGGAGATAGGTGGCAAGTAGCGAAGAGGGCTCTAAAGAGAATTAACTTAATTTATTCCACGTCTCGCTTTACTTGCTCATGATGAACAACTGATACCACTATCATTACGAGTTTAATCTACATTAAAGAACAATTGGACAGAGAAAATTAATTTCGTTTTTATGCTTAAAAGGTAAGAAAAGCAGGTTTTACTGAAAATAATCATAAAGCACTTGCTTCATCCTATCAATAGCTTTCATTCTTGTGTTTGAAGTAACAACCCTATTGACGATTGCTGTTCTAAATAGAGTAAACTCTAGTTCGTCTCAGTTTTTGTTAATAGTTGGTCTTGAAGTTTTCTTATAGCTCATTATAGTTTTAAGAATAACACACGAAAGAAAAGGTTGGGTTAAAAAGCGAGAATATGTTAGAGGAATACGTTGGTGGACCATTAGTAGGTAAAAACGAAAAAAATATAAGTTTAGTTTAAGCCAAAAAATTGGCAGAACTTTACAACACTGTTATGTTAGTGGAGTATTAGATTGTTAAAATAATAATAATAATATAATTTTGGTATTTAGTTGGTTCTTTCAACTTGAACGGCGACAAATATGCTAAATTGCAAGGTCAGAGACCTCAAGAGCTCGGACACAGCCGTCTTTAATTCCGAACTGCTGATCAGACGGATATAAACAGTGAACAGCACCCGCCACATCTTAATTGAAAAGTTAAAGAACACCGTGGAAGTGACATAAAGTTCAATGCATTAAATTCACATTTAACTTCAAAGTAAATTTCCTAACATACTTTTTAATGGTTATTCAATCAAAACAAAAACGAAGATATTTACAAAGAGTGCCCGGCATGGCCAGGTGGATAAGGCGCTCGACTCACAATCTGAGGGTCGCGGGTTCGAATCCGCATCCCAACAAACATGCTCG